TACTATGGGAAGATTTGCAAGTGCATTAAAATATTTTCAGAAAACACAGCCAGGACTGCCAGGAAGTGTGCAGGAGAGGTGAATCAGCACTGTGCATTAAGACGCTTCTCCACTGCAGCCGCACTTTCACTCCGAGGGGTCTTTTTAAGTGCTTGCTTTCTTAGATCGGGAATCTGAGACGATAAAGCACCACTGAGTTCCTCCACGGCCACAACGAAGCAGGTTTCCTAGGGTCTGGATTAAGTCGAAACTTTGATTCAACTGCTAATGGCAAAGGACAAAAAGCCACATTTGCAACTCTTTACCCCTGGTATAAATCTGACAGATATTATAAATGCACAAGGCCCGGCTAACAGCTCCTGCGTCTGCTTGGTGTTTTGCGTACTGTATATGCATGACCTTCCCTGTAAATGGGGCTCTCTTCAGTAATGCATTTGTGAAAAGCCTTGGAATGCTTTCAGGTGGGAGGCACTGTATGAACACCAAATGTAACTCCTTGAAACTAGAGCACAGGTCCTCTCACTGTGAGACGCACAGACACATCTGGATTCTTTTACCCGGACCCTGGAAACAACAGCGATTAGAGGGTCCCGACACTGGAATCTGAAACACTCCAATAAGGTCGTGCCTCTGCAACGAAAAGCCCTCAGCCGCTTGGGTTACAACCCTCCTCCCGTCTGGATTACATTTCAGTCGTCCTAGAGCTTTATGTCATCTGCGTGAGCTCCAGCGCCCAGCAGCCCCCTCACTTTCTCTCCCCCACACCCCAATAACAAAGCTGCACTCCATCTCCTTCCCTGAAACTCCCCGTGGGATCTGCTGTCAGAATCCACCCCAAAGCGGGCCAGATATGAAATAATTCAAATCACATTGCAGATCGAGACCAGGCACACATCCGAATGGGCAAAGCTGCGATTCGTCATCTAATTTGCTCTGCATACTGCTGTCATCGGCGAAGCCCAGGAGAGGAACAGCTCCTTCAGGAAAGTTGTCCGGACCCAGATCGTGGCAGAGGGCACAAGAAAAACAATATGGGGGTCCAAGCTCCACAAAACATATAAGAAGAGACAAGGCACCAGGGAATAGTGAACTTGTTGCTCTTCCCATGTGAAATCATTGCCTGTCGTTTTACAAGGTGAGCACTACTTTCACGCAATATTTTTTAAGAAGGGGAAGGCACCTACGAATGGGACCACTTCTTGTGAGAAGGGGGACGCTTTGTGCTTCCTTTAACAAGGGGAACAGCGTTCTCCACACTCCCTCTCAATCTGGGTAGTAGATGTTTTGGATCTTGGACACTCTCTCAATGGGAGAGATCTGCGCATTTCAACAACACTGCGGATCAAAGAGTGATTAATTGCCAACTGTTACACAACCCAGGCACATCAAATGGAAGGGTTTCAATCTAAAATGGACTGAGGCTTTCTGTTTTCAGTGGAACGACGGCAGCCTGTTTCTGTGTGAAACCACAGCTGACTGGCAGTGTCACTGCAGATTTGGGGGGAAGATGAAGGGTCTGCGATTCGAAATCACTCTCACACACACGCAGACTACTGCTGCCAGGCTGAGCTGGTCACTCTGAATCACTTCCCAAACAACAGCCGGCGCTGTGCGCAGTATTACACATCTCCGCAAAAATCCCAACTGGAAGTAAATGCGAGGAATTTTGTGAGGCCAGTTAATAGGAATCTCCAGGTTTTATCTTAAAGATTTATTGCACGATAGCAACCCAGCACTTAATCTAAAATCAAATCTTTTTTTTATTCTACTAAAGACTAGAAACTGCACAGTAGGTGTCTTGTACACCACCATGATTGTGGAACACACTGCCCAGATCCATTAGAGACTCTGGGAGTGCGAGTTCACCGAGTCTAAAATTTGCTGACCAGCTCACCACACGTTCTCATAAACTTTACCTTTGGATTTAATTGTCTTTTAAAAAAGTGCTCAGACATTTACTTATAAAAGTATTGTCACTGTTATAGTTTTTTCTTGTGCGTGTGTGTATAGCAATCAGGTCAGTTTCACAGAAGGCACTGCAGGGACAGCAAAGTTTAAAAAAAAAAGCAAAGCCAGGCCTGATTTTTACTGTCCAACCTTATAACGACTGGAGCAGGTGCAGTTTCTTAACTTACCTATTTAATCGGGAAATTAAAAACAGTCGGGGTTTAAAAATACTCGGGAAATAAAAGGAGAGTTGTTTTTAAAAATATATTTAATTGTTGTAACTGGAGGCATGTAAAATAAAACAGAATCCCCGCATATGATAAATATCTGAAAAAGACATCAACATACAGTACCTATCGTGATGGAAAGTACTGTATTTGCAACATGGCTGTAAACAAAATAGCTTTCCTTCAGCGCGGTACATTGATGCATTCTCTTCTTTCCAAAGCTCTTAATTAACATACTATCATATTATGTGACCCTCACAGGTGTGTACTTTTAAAAGTCGTGGGTGCGAGTGAACGTGTCCTTAAGCTTTCCTAAGCATTTGGACATTAAGCTTTAATGCGTTCTCTTTCAGTTGTGTCATGTTTGTGTTCGTCTAAAGTGATTTCGGTTAATACGTCAAAGTCGACATGAAAAATGAAAATGCTCAGAGTGAAAAGCTAATACAATTAACGAAAAGCTAAAACAAGACCAGTCGGCTATTTTCTTCCTGTATATTTTGCAGTCCAGGGTTTGAAGGGGAAACGGGATCATTCTAGAAGATTCCACAGCGCAGGCAGAAGCTGGCTAAAGAGTGACACCTGGTGGCTTACGAAAAGACAACCTGATGCTATTCTATTATTTTCTGGCAAAGTGGTGCTGTTCCCCTGTCTGTATCTCACGGACTGTGACAGATGTTGTGCACTTTGAGATAGCTTGCTATGACAAGGTGATTCTGAGATGCTAATTCAGAAAAGGCTACTTTCCTTGAGAGGTACATTCTCTCTGCCATGCTGCTTGCTTTGTAGTCTTAGGCATCTGAAACTGCCTGAAATACAGTGCACTTTTTTGGACAAAATCTGTAAGACTTTAAGCTACAGGCTTTTATCTTATACAACTGAAGCATTGCACCGGAAAGCACATGATCAGGTATTGCAGTTTTTGACTGATAACACTAAATGAAGAAAATGAAAACTCCTGTCATTTTTCATGCTGTTTTTACTTAATTGGAATGGTCTGGCTCAGTGGGGTGGGCATTAGCACAGCTGCCTCACAGCTCTTGTGCCCTGGGTTTAATGACAGAAATGAACATCTTCTGTGTGTTTTCTGAGCACTAATATGAGTTTCCTCAGGGTTCTCTGATTTCCTCCCAGCTTCAAATGCATGCCGGGAGGGTAAACTGATGTCTGTAAATTGTCCCTGTGCTCCTGTGTGTGAGTTCTCTTGCATCACACTGGCATATCCCACCCAGGGTGCAGTTGCCACAGCCCTGATCAGGAACGAGCCACTTCCTGATCATGGACAGATGCAATGGCTTGGGTTGGGTTATGTCATAATAGAGTGCACACATTTCCTGTATAAACTGTATGACACATAGATAATGCATGATTTGTGCTAAAGACCTGAGTCCATCGCATCAAACTACATTAACGATCTATACATCTCCCACCCATCTTCAATTTCCGTCATGTGGTAAGCACTGACGAACCCAATTTTTCTGATGCGTCAGTTATAGCAGTGCCAGGCTTGTCGTAGAAAAACAAACTGCTCCACCGTGTGATGGCTGTCATGGTGAGGAACATCTACCTGCAATTTTGAGCAGAACTGGGTTTGGACTTTTTGAATTAGTAGTGGTTCTGGTAGTAGTGGTTCTGGTGCTTCTAGACATTACTATACACTACAAAATGACTACACAATACACAATACAATAGACATCACTACACTAAAGTGACTGCGCTCCACAACCATTAAGTCCCCGAAAGTTCTGACTATTACTACACCATACCTCAAAACAGACAGTACATAGTGACGTTTCATGATTTGCTATATTTATCTAAGAAAAATGCCATTTTTATTCATTTTGTATTTCACATGAGGCAAAGGAGTGCATGCCTCCTGTATCTGGTGTCACGACCCACTTAAATCACTAAATCATCACTCTTGCCTCATGTTCTGGGTTTGCTTTCATACTTGGCCTGACAAGGGTAATATTTTGTGTTTTGGGGTGCAGCTCTGACTTCCAGTGTGTCCACCTTGAAAACGAATGATTGACCCTCTCCGCTGTTGGAAGCTACTCGCACTGTGCTGTACACTGACTGATGGCTGTTGTGAAAGGGAGGCCAGTTAGATGACCATCTAAAAGAGACCCACACACCGCACACTGACCTGTAAATGGACTGGTACTTCAATATATCCCCGTGCACTTCTCATAATGAGTAGGGGTGTTACCCCAGTGTCCTGGCATTACCAATCATGGCCCCCTACTAATCCCCCTCTCTGAACTGGCTTCATCACTCTGCTCTCCTCCCCACTGAGAGCTGATGTGTGGTGAGCGTTCTGGCGCACTATGGCTGCAGTCACATCCTCCAGGTAGGGCTGCACACTAGTGGTGGTGGAGGGGGGTCCCCATTACCTGTAAAGCGCTTTGAGTGGAGTGTCCAGAAAAGCGCTGTATAATTTTAAGGATTATTATAATACGCTATCCAGCACCATTGCCTCTCATACAGACTATGTAAAGCATTTCAAAATCTCAATTAATCTGTATACTGTATGTTTGTTCTTAAATCAATGAAAAACACAGTCGTCGATATTCTTCATAGAGCTCCACAGTTCTTAGTTGGGGTCCAGCGTAGAGCAAGAGGAACCCTGTCCTGTTCTCCAACACAGATTCCACTCACCGCATACTGTATTGCTTATGGACCACAGGATGGGTGGTCTGTACCACAGCTGCCTTCACCAAACCCAAACCCCAGCAGCTAGAGCCTTTAAAAGCTTTTTTCTTCTGTTTTCATTCAGGGCGGGAGCACAAGCTCCTAAAACTCCTGGGAAGCCCTCGGCGCCGGACTTACATTTCCTTGACTTTGTCGGGCGGGCCCTGCACCTGTCCGATCACGGTCCCCTGCCGGGTGTTCTTCACCCAGCCCGTCACCCCCAGCTTGTGGCCTTCATCCTCCGTGTACTGCGGGGCGGGAGAGAGGGACAGGAAGTGGGTGCAGAACACTGGCAGACACTCGCTGATGTTCAGAACCACAAGGCGGTTCTCGGTTTGTGGGGGAACAGTCGGGAGAAGTCTATTTGATTTGTGCACACAAAGCCAGTCCAGTGTACCGCCAAACAAAAAGACAAGCGCACGTCTTATATTTCTGAAACATCAAGTATGATTGAGACCCAGTGTCTAGGTCCTTTCCACTTCTGCCTGCCACTAGGCTGACATCGCACCCCACCCTCACCCTGTGTTTTGCAGGTGGTGGGCTCTCAAGACGGCCCTGCATGGCCTTTCTGGGCTGAGCCCGGCCACCAGGCACTCACCTGCGAACGCCACCCCCTGGCCTGGCCTGGGGATCTGTTCCTGGGGGCAGGGAAGTCTGGCCTGATCGATTGGCCTGCTGCAACCGCAACCCTCACCAGGAAAGGTGGAGTGAAGATGGAAGAATGGAGACCCAGTGTTTCAGGGTTCAAAATAAACACAGTGCAGGTCACTCCAACTTACCATTCTGAAGCAGACTCCTGTGAAAAAAAAACAGAAAGAGGAAAAGCTCATGATATATTTAAAGTATACGTATAGAATGGTGCCCTAAGCAAATTAATGGAACTTAAATGGATCAACAGCATTTTATATTGCTGAGGAACAAGTAAAGGTTTATTCCACGCAGAAAAGAGAAGTCCACACCCGAGCAAGGCTGGACAGACGAAATGTCATGTTTCTTTTCTTCTTATTTCAGCGTGGAATAAAACTTTACTTGCTCCTTTGCAGCCTACGCATGCTTGATGAAGCTACCCACCTGGCCTACTTCAGCCCAGTTTATTTATGTTGTTGTATGCAGAACATTAATAGCAATAAAGAAAATGGTTTCAGGCATTTTTAAATAAAGGCAATAATCTTCCCATTGCTAAGCGGCATCCATGAGGCTAAATTATTTTATATCATGTTTGGGGTTTAATATTTTAATTTTAATATTTTAATTCATATAAAATACATCTTTGCAGCCTGTGCAAATATAATATGTAATACTGTATATGTAGGGTGTATATTTATCCAGGTAGTTCAGGTGGGGAGCTGTGTCAGCATGCGTAGGCTGCAAAGGAACAAGTAAAGGTTTATTCCCTGCTGAAAAGAGAAGAAAGAAAACACAACGTTTCGGCCGTGGAGCCTGAAAAGTAAAAAAACGGCCGAAATGTTGTGTTTTCTTTCTTCTCTTTTCAGCATGGAATAAACCTTTACTTGTTCCTATTTATCCAGGTAGTCGATGTTTTGCGGTATCAATGGAGCATCGGTAGAGGGCAGCATTGTATCCGAGCACTCTTTTTCATTGCAGCCGGCCTGTTAGCGTTTGGCAACAAGCTGGTCATTTTCCGACTGCGACGCAGTGTTTAAACTAACAGTGGGCATTATTCTGGGACGGCAATGCGTCCGCTTTTTCAGCAATAAACAGCCAACACAGAGCAGTGTCAGTTAAGGAGACGCTAACGAGGCAAAGCACCGCAGTGAACTCCCCGTAATAATGGTCTGGTAAGGCAGAAAGCAACTGAACTCAAATGACCCTGCTGCAACACTTGCCAAAATATACGGTATCCAGCTGAGAAACGCATTAAGCCGACAGTTCGGCTCACTGATGTGCAAACATGCACTAAATTCCTTCACCACTTAAAACTAGCTCATCCTGAGTATTTAGTCTGGGGAAACGGGTTGTGCCGCATCGCGATGTCAAATCTACTTATTTGCCCCGAAATCCAGAGTCGCAGCGAAACTTAACTGCGTCTAAATTTGGAAACGGCAGCTGCTGCTGGGCACAAGCTAACGGGCTGTGTTACTGCGACTAGACGAGCAGTTAAAGGCGGGCAACACACAAGGCTACCTACCCTGAACGCGGCCGAATACCTCGAAATCTACGGAAGCCAGCTTGGCTCCTGTACTGACTACGTCGTTAGACATTGCCAGCAGGATAAGTGCGGCTAGAACAAGCGCACGGCTCCAGGTCCACCTCAGTCCCGGCCCGGACACGGCTCTCCGCATCGGCGCTGGTGCCTGGCGCTCCCCTCCAGCTGGGTGTCGCTAGTGCGCTAATTTCACAACCCCTGCGCAGCCTGGCACGTCTGGCGAGGAGCTGGAGACTGGGTCATATTTATTTTTTAAAGCGAAGTGATGCCTAAGCATTGCCAGGTGTAAAAACTACTGGGCTTGGGAGAATTACGGGTGGCAAAAACTGCAATTTCAAGAGGATATACCATCTTCTAGGATTTATCCTAGGATAAACTGCCAGATTGTTTTTTTTTCAGATGTTATATAGTTGTCCTTTTCAGAAAAAAATATTGCAGGGGACAGGCCGTGTTGAAGGGGAGGCGATCGGAGTGGCGATTTTAAATTCCCAGAGTGAACCTAAATTTGTAATTGTTTTGACACTCGCAATGGAAACAAGCGCAAATCGACTTCCTGGTCCTGTACTTGACTTTCATTTTTTAATATTTTTTATGGGTGCTCACGGGCACGTTTTAAGATCGTGGGGATCAAGTTCTAAAAGCATTTGATACTGTCAGTCTAATTACACAATGGTGGCGCTCTGGGTTAACAGTGCTAATGGATTCCGCGTATCATTAATAGTTAAAGCAAATGTACTGTTATCAGAGCACCATGAGTTCTTGTGCTTTTAAACCGAGTCATGGGACACTTCTGACAACTTGAGAGTTTGTTTTAGTAGCAAGTCGGGCTACCAGTTGCAACGCAGTTAACCCTAAATACATTAATACACCAGTAGGTGGCACACACACCATTTAGATATCTTGCCATATGGCAGCTTTTTAAGTATCGCAAATCAGAACATTAGTAAGGAATTACATTTGTGCTACTGGTTGTAATGCGTTTCGACCAGTAAAGTAAATTGAATGAAGAAAACAAAGTTATTCCGATCCCTAGTAATGTAGCAGGATTACGATCAAAATGCATTTCTTTCTAAAGCTGATCTGTACCGTCACTGGGGTTGCCTTTTTGTCTCCTCGGCTCTTTCGTTGGAATCAGGAGTTTCTTCGGCAAATCTCTTGTCTAGAGAAGCCAACAGCAAAAGTGAGCAAAGAGAATAAAATTGTCTAACTTCCCAAACGTAGGAGTTGGTATCTACATGAAGGGCAAATAGAAAAAAAGAACAGGTGAGTCTAAAGTCATTATTTACAAAGAATACCTCTGAAATGTTGTTTCTTTTGTAAGTTTTGAGGTTTTCAGGTAAATTGCCCGTGTCAGACGTACAATTGTACAATAGTTAAAAGGCTCTGGCCTGGTCAATCCTGGGATGAGAGACCTTCCAGGTTGGAAAACCAGGTTGCTGCCATAAAGGGTGTTGTCAGACCAGTAGGTGGCGCTCTGCCCTCTGGATCAGAATGTCCAAGCCCATATTCCCAATAGTGACAGGTGACACTGTTGTGAGGAAGGCGCAGTGCTTTTTTGAGATGTTAAAGCTCGAAGTAAATTTTTCCTATAAAGTCTAGATCACGATTTGGCTATCTTGTTTATAAAGGTGCTTATTTTCTTGTGTTTTCAAGATCCCATGTCACCTTTTATAAGAACGGGGGGTGTTTAACCCCCATGGCCTGGAAAAAATTCCATGTGAACAATCTGGCTTCTTAAAGCCGCCCTCCCTTCATTTAATTTATGAGGCAAGTCCTGCACCTGCCCAGCTGTGGAGTGGGGCTGCTGTTGCAGAGTGGCTTGCCCTGTGGCACTGCTCCTAAGCGGTTGATAAAAACGTGCAAAGCACTGTGGGATCCTTTGAGATGAAAATTGCTACATTGATGTAAGCAATTCTTAATGAGAAGATACTGGAGTGCTACCAATCAAATAAATTATACGATTTTCCAAGATTAATTGAGAATTTAGCTCATCGGCAGAACTACCAATTGCTAAGAAGATGGTTCTGATGTTAAAATAGGGCAGTATGCAGATCCACCATTCACTCTTTCCATACCCCCCTGTATTGTGTAAATTCTTGCCTTGTGTAGCAGGCATGTAAAATATTGATTAGTTAGAGACAAGAATGTCTCAGATGTTTTAATGGCGTAGTCTCTCTCTTTGGTTCAAAACGCCAGTCATTGGCCATGTAATCCAACCCAGTTTCCCTCTGGGATCTGTTGAGTCATTTTTGCTTATTAAATATTTTAAATGGTGGAATTCTTGCTTCTGAAATTGTTGTATCACAAAACTGAAGGATACCAAAGCGATCTGGGATTCCATTTTTTAAAATAAAACATCTATTCTTTTAAATCTTACGGAATTATATAAAGCACTAATACTTTTAACAGAGGTTCATTTGAACTAAAAATGCAAGACACAAGGAAAAAAAGGTTTGTGCACAAAATTCACCCTCTTTAGATTAGTGTTTAAGCATTTCTTTTAAAAAATCAGATTCTAAGATTCTGTAGTTCTCCAGTCAAACAGGGAAAATACCATGAGATCAGTAGATGATGTACTCTAAGCTTCTAATGATGTACAAGAACACATGCTAATCTCTAGAGAAAATATCCACATGGGCTCATTCTGTTGACAGAATGAAACGTTTTAGCTGCTGTTAGAAAACCTAAAGCAAGCAGATGTGTCTTAATATATTTATTAAGATGGCAATTAATGCAGCTGATACTTCTGACTTAGTGACGCCATCGATTAATATAATGTTCCAAAGATTTCTCCTTTTGAAATAGAGTTTAATCTCATCCTTTTTGTTTATTAGAAAACCATGATGTGATGTGGATTGAAAGCTTTATTAAATCCCTCTATCAAAGTGTCCCAGATTTTTTTTTTTTGCCCAGCACATGTTCTGCATAGTTCCGCCATAGCACCCTGTGTAACTGAGAGAAAAAATGTTCACTAAACCAATTCAGGCAGTAATACCAAATTACTGAATAAGACAACTGCTATGAAATCCTTATCCCGGGTGTATTAAGGATTCCTCTTCTACATTGTGTACGTGCTGTGTGGGCACAGTGGAGAGGATTGGATTTGCACATCTATGAATCAGGTGTTTCCTCTGGGCATCAGTACTAGTTCCCCAACGCCAGCAGTTCTAAGCATTTTTTTTCTTGTCTGTGTCAACAGGCCTCAACCTTTTTTCTCCTGACCCCTCGATTAATGTCAGTAACACAGTTAAAGTACTGTATGAAGCGCCACTCCCATCCCCCAAAACCTGGTTTTTGTCCACAGTCCTGTATCTCTGTGAAGGTGAGTAAATTAACAGCCCCTTGCATGCCCTGCCTCCAACTCTGGCTGCTGCACAGTGCCCAGCTGTCAGGTGCAAAGGTGTTTGAGTCTGCTACACTAAACAAAGGTGTTTTCTCGTGGTTGTATGGTGCCCACTGAGAGGACAGCATCGGCATATTCCCGGTATGGCCAGCAACCTGTTCTGCGGGTTTCGTTTTTTATTTTATTAGGAAACATTAACCTGTAGCTCATCTTCCTTCGATGATCCGTAGAACGTTGGTGCCAGTGTCTGTGTGTCCACCTCTTTTCTATGACTTCCTCAGCAAGCTCAGAATACAGGATTTTCCTGTTTTGTTTGGAAGTAACAACATGTTATTCCAAAGCTTCTTTATTATGGATTCTTGCAATCCTTCTGAACTGTTACAAACTTAATTCACATAGAAAGAAACCACCCAACAGCTCACCATGGAGGAGCATGACTACAGGGTTCATGATGACTAGAATAATTGTCAGCTGGTGTATTTAAATACTGTATACTATGATGGGAGTGGTGTCACGATCGTAATCCCTCCTCTTAAGGGCGCTCCGGCTCTTTCACATTTTAGATGATTATGTGCACCTGCCTCCTATCCAGCCCCTCCTTATTTAAGGCTGGCGCTCTCACTATTCCTGGCTCAGGACTGGGAGACGGACGCCCGGAAGCCCGCCTACCAGCGGTTCCGGGAGAGACCCGATAGCACAGGCTTCACCACGGCCTCCCGACCATCTGGGTCCGGGGCTGGGAGCGCCTGGCCCTGTTAACCGGCTTTTATTCTCCGTCCCTGCACTGGATCCTGCTCCGGCTTTTAAACCTTGTCTTGTCTGTCCTGGATGGATCACCCGGCTTTGGACTCTCGGACTTTGCCCTGGATTTTCCCTTTGGACTCCCTTGGACTAGTTTGCCCTGGCCACGCCCCCCTGAGCACCAGTGCGCTGTCGCCACGGCCCCCTGTTCGTCAACCTGCCCGGTTCCTCGTCGTCTCCTCCCCGTGTCCGTTTCACTCCCTTCCGGATTATACCGCCTGCATAGGGTCCTGGCCTACACATCGTGACGGTGGACTGTGTTCCTTATTGCATTATGTAAATATATGCATTATGCATTGTGTAGATATATAAATATATACAAGATCTAACAACCTTCCTAGGAATTCAAGAGAAACTCATGTCAAGTATGGAGAAAAGTGTGGATATACTGTATATGGCAAAGGTTGAATTATTTATTAAGAATATTGTGTTTTTTTATGATGAATCCAAGGAAACTTGTTGATTGTCTTTCTTTAAATCTGAATTTCTGATCATTTGCCATAAAAATGTTTTTCTTCCACTACTGAAAAAAATGTTTTCTTATTGTCCCTGAATCAGAATTTATTGTAGACTGGTGATATAATACGATTTAATCTGGTTTACACATGGTTGAGCTTCAGATTTTCAAAACGATATTTCTGTTAGCTGGGTTTTTAGGTCGCTGTGTTCTAACAGTCTCTGTGAAAGATGTCAACTGCTATTCTGCTCTGCATTCTGCATTTGTGTGATCCCTGGGGCCTTGTTCAGAGTCAGGTCTGAGCAGTGATCAAGGAAACCACATCAGAGCATGTTTTAAATAGCTGAGGCTATCCCAGTTCACAATCTGTTGTATGCTGAGTAACACTATCTATGGGAATCCACCCATGGTATAGGAAGATTTCTTGATATAATAATGACTGTATTTTATTTTTATTTATTTTTTTACATTTATGTACCACATTCCATTACATACAGTGCTTTTAAGAGTACAACTTTATGTCTTGTTTGGTTGTGATTACTAAGGGTTTTTGTGCTCATATCGAGCCTACAGATTGTTCGCAATAGACACTG